TGTGTGTGCTGAAACATGAAAACGAGGCCTTAGCTGGGTGGCTTCCAAGTCCTAGATAAAGTTATTGAGACTAAGAGGTTTTAAGTTTAATTCTCATCGAATATAGTGATTTTATGTCCAACTGTGTGTTTATATTCTTTACTAAAATGTGCTAGTGTGTGATAATTTGCATAATTTCCTGATTTAAGAATGATGTCGCAGAGGATTAAGTTGGAAGATTAATCCTATGAGTTCGCAAAAGATCTTTTTCCTTGTCCGTTCATTATGAGAAACATAATGGGCATTTTGTTTATGTAAGATTTTGGGAGTTGGTTTGTGCTCCCTTATTCCAAAGGGAATAAGCCTAAGTTCATATATTCATTTTTGCATTTTTTATATTGTGTAACTAAAGATATTAGTTTTGAAAAACATAGGCTAGTGAGTAGTAATGCTACAATAGGAAGAACATGGAGGCCTCGTTTGTTTTTATTAAGATTAAAACGTTTAAATCTAAAATTAATATGTGTATATATTAAGATCTGAATATTAAAATGTTGTATTAAGATCTGAATACTAAATAATTAAGATTGTTTATTTACTCTACATCTGAATATATACAATTTATTTTTATTTAAAAATTAATAAGTATAGGTTCAAATCAAATAGTACTAATAAATCTAATACTGTATTAATTAAATATTTTTAAAATTTATATGATAGTTAACGGTGGCGATGGCTAACAATGGTAATTGTGGGTGTCGACTCGGTAGTAGCTGGTGGTGGTATTGGTTGAAGATGGTGATTATGAGCAGTATATGGTAGATGACAGTAGTAGTTAATGGTAGTTCTTGATGGTGGTGATGACTAATAACAATGATGGGTGATATATAGTGTTTATTAGTGATTGTTGTGGTAATGGTGGTTGGTGGTGATAATTGTAAATGGTGGCTAGTGATAGTAACAATTGACAATTGACATTTGTGCTTGGCAGCGATAGTAGTTGTGGCTGAGGATGATGGTAATAAATGGTGGATATTGGGTGGTGGTAGTCTGTAACGGTGGAGGAAGGTGATAGCAATGGTGGTGGTGGTTAGCGGTAAAAATATAGGAGTAATAGTGAAATATCATTTTTACATAAATTCTTGAATGTGTAACATCTTGATGGTATTAAGACTCTATTATAGATCTATTAGACTCATTAAGTGATTGTAAAAGTAAAAAAAAAAACAGACTTAATAGTTAAAATCTAAATAATTAAGATTAAGATCTAAAAAATAAACGTACTTAATGACTGATATCTGAATGATTAAGATTTAGACCTGCATTAAGTGCAACCATATGAGGCATTAGTTTTTTTCCACTCAACTTGATCTACATGCACGGTTAAAGCTTGCCTCAAACATCAATAGAAGTTTTTGAATCGCTGAGAGTATTTTCAGAAGGTAGTGTTGAGGTTTGCATGTTGAAAACATAAATAAAAGTCTCTTATAACGGTTTAAATATTTAGATAAATAGTCACACAATTCAACATGATAGCAGCACAAGTATAGGTCCTCGGATAAAAAATCACTATAATTCCATTATTAAAAAGAAGAAGAGATTTTTACCTATATGTATTACATAAGAAACTAATTTACCTTAACCGGTTTTAACTTAATTATAAGTTAATATACAATTTACCCGTTATATACAAATAAGTTTTAGGTATCCTTGATTGTAGCCTTTTAATGTGGATATCAAATTCTACAAATCTGCCGCTTCTACATATCTCTCCTCTTCCTCTCTCTCTCTCTCTCTCTCTCTCTCTCTCTCTCTCTATTTTCTTTTTTCTGCCCCACTTATTCTTATTTGGATCTCTATGATTCTCTTCTCTTTTCTCATCTCCTTTTTCTTTTTTTCTTCAGAGAATTCAATAATAGATTTAATATGGTCGTTTATCACCGTCGAACCAGTCGTTGTCCATTGCCCCGCCAGCTATTGAAAGTCATCAAAAGCTTCGAAACTTTAATTTTGAATTCGATTTTTTAAAAATAACTATTTGTTTTGATTGGGTGTTGTTGCAAACAATCGGGAATACTCTTTGGAGTTTATATCTCAATTTTGAGGGTGTTTGGTGAAGATTAAAGTTGATTTTGGATGAATTTTCATATTGAAACTCGAAGATGAAGAAGAAGATGTATTAAAGTTGTATTATAATTGTATGTAAATTGTATTTAAGTTGTTTTCTGTTGTAGTTATTTTTTTTTATTTGAATGTTGTATGAAAGTTGAAAAATAGTTGTATAATGTATGAATCGTAGTATGAAATTTGTAATTAAGTTATCCCATACTTTCTTTTTATATAAAGTTGTTAATATATATCAAAATTATATTAAGAGAGAGTATTGATTGGAATTTCAGATAAGAAGAACACACCACATACAAAATATATACAAATCATACACAAAATACATACAAAAGACATATTTGTATAAAATTTGTATAAAAACTGTATTTTAAGTTGTATGATGTTGTAGCTGTTTTTAACCGCGTAAAAATGATGTATGAAAGTTGTAGATAAGTTATAAATAAGTTATATACTATATAATTAGTTACATCAAATTAGAATATTCCGGCATTCAACTTGTCTGGTTTATGTGTTGTCTATCATCAGTGTCTCTATTGCTTTGGTTTGGCGCTACTTTCTGGTTCAGGCTATTAAAATAGTTTTATAAGATTTGGTTCTCAATTAAGTCTTTAACTATTTTACGCCACTGTGGTTCGACATTATTGGAATTGCTATACTACAGTTAAGGCACTATTGGAAAGAAGAGAAGAGAAAAGAAAGGAAAAAAGGTGTAACTCAATCCCATAATTTAAGGCATTAATAATGGATTATATATGAAGAGAGGAAAAAAAGGAAAAGGATGTAACTGCATCCCCTAAATTAAGATACTAATAATAGATTGTATATAAATTGTAAGCAATTCTTGTTTAGTGCAGGTAATATATAAAATTAGGCAATTTTGATAAATAAGTTTTAGATATGGTATATGAACGGAAATTATCACGTGCTCAGCTCATGAGACATAATTAAATCTGCATATGAGTCAGTGCAATGAAGACTAATTTAAAAGTGTTTTCCACTAACCTAAAAATTAAGATAAGATAATCATGAGGTTCAACATTGCAACAAGTAATTGTGCTTCATGCTTGTTCTGACTATGCAGTCAAGGATAGTTGAATCTTTTGACAGAAACAACAGTAACTTAAGGGCATTCAGTCTAGTGTTCATGAGTCCTCCAACAGTTCAAGTACATATATAGTGGAAACTCAGTTCGTAAAGTTTCTTCCAACCAAACAAGCCAAATAAGGGAAACATTCTGCAGTTGTGACTCCAAATAAATCATTGCATTCCATAGCTCTAGAAGAGTAGTTCTTTTTGTGATGGATGGGATGTTTTCAAGAAGGCAATTACATTATTTTGATCAGCTTCAACTGTACATACAACCATATCTGTTCATATATTAGTGGAACTCATCTTTGATTTGCATGTTAATTGCTTTTAGGTACATTAGGAATTGTAAACGCAGATCTGATAGTAAGATAAACAATCAGTTAACGGATTACAGTAAAGCTGCTAGGGCACTTGACTGTTTTCAACTTTCCTCTGGAAGATGAGCGAGCCAAACAAAACAGCAACGCCCGTTATTGCAATTGTAAATAGAAGCCGCTTCTTGGAAAATTCATGTGGCTGCCTTCTAGGAGCACCACGATCTCTCTCAGCTGGACTAATGTTCCTTCAAAAATACCAAAAGCGGGACAAAAGAAGTAAAGACCAGAGCACTTGGCATACAACACAAGATATAGCACCAGAAAAGTACAGTTAAAGAGTAGTGGTAGATGGTTTAGAAGTGCATAGCAGGGCAGATGCAGCCCTTTAGTTACGGGTTTATCTGAACTCACAACTTTCGACACAGAATATAGATATATATGTAAAAACCTACTAAAATCTTAAAAAATATTAAACCGGAACCCATAATTTTAACAATACAATGAGTTCAGTGTTGAGAATCTTAGAAGTTGAACCTATTAAATTTAAATCCTAGATCTGCCTCTGGTGCATAGCATTTGTTGATCAAGACATATGATGGGAACAATTACAACGGGATTAGATGGCAAGTTGCAAAGAGAAATGCATAATGTAGCGACATGAAAGACCACATGCGGATATCTAGGTGCAACTTGAGTTTTACCAACTTCCACAGAATGGTGGTAAAATCACACCCTTTCACCTGTCTTATTTTTCTAAAACCATAAAGTTTCTGCATAGGGCATAGCATGAGCTAACAGTTGCTCATTTTCTTATTGAGTAACTCTTGTAATCCTTGATTTCAGGTTTCACATGTAGTGTACTATTATGACTTGTGAACGTGGATGCCCATTCCAAGCACTGTAATATATCATAAAATTGATAAACAAAGAATGCCAAGAGACTCTAAATATGTGAGATCCATTTAAAGATTCTTTCCAAAATGAGATAATCAAATATATAAAAGGGGGACGAAGCTGGCAGAAAACCAGACACTTTCTTGATTAACATAGATAAGATAGACGAAGAAATAACGTCAAAGAGAGAAGAATAAGTTCAAGTGTAACCTTAAAAAATTTGATCACCTTTTACTGGGTAGGTAAAACATAAAGGAAACAAGTATATACATATTTATATGCACCAACTGCATTATGGATGAGAAATAAGGAAGTGTATAAACATATGTCACTACCCAGTCATGTATGACCTAGATTTTATTAGAGATTCTTATGCTATATTCATGTCCAGGTAGGAGAAATACTGATTTTCATACATAGCTCAAAAGCAGCTTATCCAATATCCTTTTAGACAATCTTATCGGAGGAACTCTGTCTTATAAGTCAGTGTTCACTAATAACTGAAACAAGATACATAGACTAGTTGTACCATAAGCGAGGAAGGCAAAAAATAAGCATCATAAATGCATGTCTGTGCAACAATTACGTTAAGGTAGGAATGACAGAGAGATACATGCTTCCAATGGGCTTTGACAGTTGGACCTCATAAACATCACCAAAGAATCAAAGCCAAGATCCACTCAGCATAGAAAGAACGGCTCAAAACGACCAAGGGGACATGCAAAATGCAAACTAAATAAACATTTTAGGTCCATAATACCTGGAGGATTCCGCAACGATATTTGTGCCTCCATTGCATCTACTCTCATGGTCATCTCTTTCATGGAGCCTAATATATCTGCTACACAGATGACAGAGTTCTGTTCTATTCCCACAAACTTCCTGGTAAAGGAATGCAGATATTATAAAAACAGCAGGATACTGAAGATCGATCAATTAACCAAAACAATTACAAAATAGAAAAAGAAGCCTAATCATAGATAGTCATTATAACCTGATGCTTAAATAAATCAATTGCAGGTAAAGGAAACTCGCAATACTGGCATGTCACAATCCTTTGTGGGCAATTTTCACCTTTGTGAACAGTTAACACCTCACGCTCCATTCTCTCGCTACACAAAGAACAGGCTACCTGTAAATTAACATGCATAACAATCACATTGAGAGGTTGTATTTGGCTTATTAAAGAACTCATACCATGACGAAGTGGGAAAAGAATGTTCCTGTAAAACAGAACAGACTGGTAGAAGCAGAAAAGGTGGGAAGACCTACAAAACATGTGTTCATCGAATGCAAAAAATCGAAAAGGAAGTAAGAGGTATAAGTTAACACTAAGATAGAATGTTGTAAAAGACAGAGGTATAAGTTAACACTAAGATAGAATGTTGTAAAAGACTATGTTCAAGTACTCTTAAGCCCTGAACTAGGTGCAGTACAGGCTGAAGGCTTAGCCTCGTATAGACACAGCTTTGATTCTAGCACCAAGGCGATAAGGTGTGCACCTCATTGCCCATGGACTTTACATTGAAGAAGCCTACATTAACAATGAATATAGTAATGTGATGTATTAATTGTTAAGCAAACATTGAGTATAAAAGTATTAGAAATAGGAAATTAGATATTTAGTATAAGAAGACAAGTCACTGGACCCGAACTAAAAACTAAAATTTCATCTTTGTATCTGATCAGAAATTCAAAATGGTCTTTAAAATTGATTCACATGATTTTTACTTCATATATTATACTTAATTGTGTAGTTTTTACATATAATTGTTGTTTGAGTTTAAAGTAATTTTTTCTTACATGAAAAACACATTTTAATTTCTTTCATTTGTATTCACTAAAACTCATGCTTCAATAGCACGTTGCGCTTTAAACTGCAACAGATCTTGGCTATTTTCTGTGCACCTACTTGGTGCTTTCACACGAAGAAAATTCTTTACTTATCAGGACAAAAAAAGGATCTTATTTTTGTTTTCTTAAGGTAGTATATAAGACAAAATCAACTTAAGGGGAACCATAGAGAAAAGGTGCCTCTTTTCTTTACCTAGAGCTTCAACCCCTGCAATAAGGATGTATCATGATTTTAGTAACCCCGAAAAGTTTAGCTATTAATATATCTTTTGAGTGGGGTGGGCTGGCATTCAATCATCAGAGCACTTCACCTCTTGTGTTGTTTAGCGTTAATCTGAAGTTCTTAAATTATTTATTTAATTTTCAAGAATAAGATCATATATTTTCCATTTAAGGTCCATTCTTTACGCAAGGACTTCAATTGCAATGCCTAGCACCGTACATAACATCATGAAAAATGTTCATTGCACAACCATGAAATGATGTACAAAACTATGTATTTACAAACACGTCAGCTGGATGAAAGTGCAGATTCACATAAACAGTTCTGGGAGCAAACTGGAAGGCAAATAAATGCAATTGAATGGATCAAATTTAGAAATCTATCTTAGAAAGGGACTAACATCTGTTGGACCAAATGATACAGTTAAGGTAATTGAGAAATCCTTGCGTCTAAAAGTTGAAGGTTCAATTAGAGAAGGAGAAATAAAGAACTTTTTCCCTGTAAAATCTCTCGGCATCATCCACAAAATGACGAGATCAAATAAATTGGTTCACTTACTGCAGCATGAGTGCTCAAGAAATGTTCTTCTGCATGTTTTTTTGGAACCATATCCCCACAGATTTTACATTTTTCAAGTTTCCGGGAGCAATGAGCAACATGCAAATCAAGATTGGAAGATGGAATTTCTCTGTCACTGGAAACATATAGATTCAAATTAGCAATTGATGGATATACAAGCACATAGGAAAAGATAATATGTAGAATAAGAAGCTGACAAATATACTAGGTTGAAACATGAATAAAGATGACATCTAGCATGGTACGACTGGTCGTGCACGAATGGCAACCCGCTGTTAAACTATATGTCGTATAGCTTAGATTTAAATATAGAGCTGTAAGGTTCATCACTTCATTGTCGAATTTTATAGTGTATTATCCACAACGCATTAATTCATAATCTATTAAAGACCTGAACTCTTCAGTTTCCATTGGCAGCAAAAGGAGGGTACTCAATAAGGAATTCACTTCCGCCAACATGGCAATCCACAAGTAGACACCAATAAACTAGCTAGTATTTACTTTTCCAAAATTGGACCTTATTCACATTGCAATCAGTAATAGGAAAAAACAACTTGCAACTAATATATCCCATTAATCAAGCTAAATCATGATCAATATTTGCTGATAAATCAATAGTATTTCATTAAACAACACACCAAGATGGTGTCAGAAGAGATTACAGACTCAAGCACAGTTATCTACCAAGTATCACAATCATCAAAACACACTTGTATACTGTCTTTATACAATTCTCCTTCTTCAATAGAGGCAGACAAACCCAAATATTGTCTGCATAATTTATTTTATGACGGTGGTATCTGAGTCAGCTTGCGCACACCTTTGCTATTGCACCGGGTACCTGCTACCCCCACCAGCATAGATACCATACAAGTGTACCCACGCTAGGGGCATAAAACTGCAGCTACAAACAAACACAAATATTGTCTGGATAATTTTCACAGCCTAANAGATGGTTGTGGCTTGATCAGAAGCTACAGCCATTAAAATCTATCTTTGATTAAAATCTCTGATATAATAACAAAGAAAAATGGATAAATCAAATATCAATAACTGAGAAGGAAGATGATATAGGAAAACTAATTAAATTAGTTCGATTGAATCTTCTATATGCATTTGGCTCTATTTGAATTCTTTACATTCCGATTATATTTATATTTTCAGATAAATTTGGACTGAGATTTCAATTGTTTGCTTAAATAGAGAAACAACCTATGATTCTCTGAGTTGGAATTATCGATTCGTAAATTCACTTTCACGATGTTGTACTATAATTTGGTTCACTTACGGGTCGCGAACTTTTATGAGTGCTAACTGGTCGGTTGGCCACCTTCCCTTTCTGCGCGTGTTAGGGACTCGCTTCGACTCATGATTGATTGATCCGCCTTGATTGGGCTTCTTTAGCGGTCTGGGCTTGTTGGGTTTAGTTGGATCAGCTGGAGAAACTGTTAAAGGGCAAAATTCGGCCGGCCGAAACTAAGTAGAAATGGTGTGGTATAGCCACTTTTTTAATTGGCATGTACTTTTTAGCCAGTGCTTTTAATATTGAGCAAAAATAGTCACTACTCTATTAAAATTGATACGAAAAGTCTTTTTTACCCTTTCTTCATGAGTGATGTGTAAATATTAAGGATATGGCGTCCTTAACTTCATGAGTGATGTGTAAAATATTAAGGACAACATGTCCTTAACATTTACAATGCACATATGAAGTTAAGGACATGATGTCCTAAAGTTTAACAACAGAACTTTCAAATACAAGTTAATGATATTATGTCCTTAACATTTACATTGCACACATGAAGTTAAGGACACCATGTCCTTAATATTTATACTACACATATGAAGTTAAGGACACCATATCCTTAATATTTACATTGCACATATGAAGTTAAGGATATGATGTCCTAGAGTTTAACAACATAAGTTGCAAATACAAGTTAATGATATTATGTCCTTAACATTTATATTGCACACATGAAGTTAAGGACACCATGTCCTTAACATTTACACTGCACATATGAAGTTAAGGACACCATGTCCTTAATATTTACATTGCACATATGAAGTTAAGGACATGATGTCCTAAAGTTTAACAACAGAAATTGCAAATACAAGTTAATGATATTATGTCATTAACATTTACATTGCACACATAAAATTAAGGACACCATGTCCTTAACATTTACACTGCACATATGAAGTTAAGGACATGATGTCCTAAAGTTTATGAGCAGAAGGTGCAAATATATGACACTTTGTCCTTAATATTTACATTGCACATATGAAGTTAAGGACACCACGTCCTTAACATTTACACTGCACATATGAAGTTAAGGACACCACGTCCTTAACATTTACACTGCACATATGAAGTTAAGGACACCACGTCCTTAACATTTACACTGCACATATGAAGTTAAGGACACCACGTCCTTAACATTTACACTGCACATATGAAGTTAAGGACACCACGTCCTTAACATTTACAATGAACACATGAAGTTAAGGACACCACGTCCTTAACATTTACACTCCACATATGAAGTTAAGGATATGATGTCCTAAAGTTTAACAAGAGGAGGTGCAAAAACAAGTTAAGGACATTATATTTTTAACATTTACATTGCATACATGAAGTTAAGGATACCATGTCCTTAACATTTACACTATACATATGAAGTTAAGGACATGATGTCCTACAGTTTAACAACAGAAGTTGTAAATACAAGTTAATGATATTATGTCCTTAACATTTACACTGCACATATGAAGTTAAGGACATGATGTCCTACAGTTTAACAACAGAAGTTGTAAATACAAGTTAATGATATTATGTCCTTAACATTTACACTGCACATATGAAGTTAAGGACATGATGTTTTAAAGTTTAGCAGTAGAAGGTGCAAATACAGGACACTTTGTCCTAAACATTTACACAACATTCATGAAATTAAAGACACCATGTCCTTAATATTTACACAACACCTATGTCTAGTACATGGGTATTTTTGTCTGGCGGGTAAAAATTTATTAAACACTGGCTAAAGAGTAAATACATTTAAAATAGTCGCTAAAAGGTAAAGACATCTCTTATCAGTGGTTATTTGTGCACTTCCCCCCGAAACTAATTATATTTACTAGACAAAAAGTATATAAATATGTATATTATATGTATATAATACACATACATGAGTGGCTCGACTATAAGGCCAGTAAAGTAATTGCTTGGGCCCCAACTTTTTGGAGGCCCCATTTTTTTCGTAAAGATGTATTATATATGTATTATTAAAAAAATGTGTGTACATTTAAATTTAAAAAGAACTTTTGGAGCGAAAGTACAATAACTTTAATGTGAGGATCGTAATAATAATTAGAGAATGGAATAATTTTTAATGAATTGTTTTCTTACATGGGTAGGGTAACTATTTTTTTTTGTCTCATTTATGTCCTAAATCCTAACTAATAGGGGCCCGTATTATTATTTATATATTTACCTTTTTCATTCTCTCTTTTACTATTCTTATTCTTAATGTTGAAAAGTTTCCAAATCGATAACTTACCGCGACTTACAAGTTGTCTTCTTCAAAGCATTACCAGAAGCAATAATTATATTGAAGCAATGCAATATTTTTCGATATCATTATATCAACTTATCTTGATCTATAGTTTCTTACCCTTTGATTTCTGCCATTATTTATTGTTTCTGGTACTTGGATTATCTTATTTATGTGTGATAATTGTTGCTCCTTTTTAGACTACTTTATCATGACTTACTCGCTTTCGTTACTTTCATTTTCATACTGTATTGAATTGATTATCCTTATCTAACTTTTTTTTGCCATGCTTTCTCTTGAGCCGAGGGTATTTGAGAAACTACCTCTCTACCTTCTAAGTTAGAGGTAAGATCTGCGTACACTCTACCTCCCGAGACTTCACTTTATGAATTTTTAATGGGTATATTATTATTGTATATCAACTTATCAAATTCTTGAGTCGATAAAGTATTTCAGGCCCAATGCGGAAAGATAATGAATTTAATTCCCTTTTGGTGTTTATGAATATCTAGCTCGTTCTTGACTGCTGAGTACTAACATAATTGTCAATACTGCAACTTGCATTATGTTCATCATGTGATGCTGCAACTTGCAGCTAATCAACATTTTTTTATTTTTATATTACCCATCTTTCGGGCAGATTACTTAACTCAGGAAACTGGGTATCTGCCGAAAAAACAAGTATTCTTTTGGGCATAATGGTATATATATGAAAGTAGGTGAAAGAGAAATGAACGAGGGATTACAAGGTTAAGAATCAAATTATCACCAACAAGATAAATATTAGGTAGCCAAGCAACTAAATTATTAAGATTCTGGAAGCCCAATGATTAACTTTCTTGTTTAGAGCTATAAAATGAATCATGATAATAACAATCAATAACATTATCCAGGATAAACCTTCCTAGATTGGCTATAAAATCTCTGCTTTCCTTACTAGGTTTTAAATACTAATTTTGGACTATCTAGTTCTCTTAGCGTTTGTTTGAAGTTTGCAAATTTAATTTTGGAATTTTCGGGAAAAGTGTTTGCTTGACCTGCTTTTGCAAATTTAATTTTTCTTTTTGAAGATTTCTAAGTCAATTTTCATATCTTTTAAAAACACAAAAAAGGAAAAAAAAAATCTTTTAAAAGGTTGGAAAACAGAGTTTGCAAATCTTCCATTAAAAAAATGTTTTATGTCTTTGCGAAAAACTAAAACAAAAGCTAACTATCAACTTAATCTGGAAAGTACAATAAACATGATTTCGTAAGATTTCCTTTCCTTTCTTACACATAGAAGTAAGTCAAAGCATAATAGGAGGAAAAGGAATATATCTTTATATCAAAGATGTTATTCATTTGTCTTGCCAATAAATCATATAGGCCAGCCATTACTTTTAAACCACATCGAAGTAGAAGTATATTCCTAGATTTCAATGAAACAATTACTTCATTAATAAAAGGGAGAAAAACACTTCACTTCATGGATACTCGGAAGGTATTATCGACTGAGACGAAGTTATGATTTGAAATTTATAAAATTATAGTTCATATTAATTACTCTCTCTCGTCTACAATAAGTGACCAATTTATTTTTTTTTATTTTGGTCCAAAATAAGTGTCCATTTATATAATCAAGAAAAAATTAAATTTATTTTTCTAAAATTACCCTTATGTACGTATCTTTAAAAAATATTTTACTCCTCACATTAATTATGCTAGAATATTTAATTAAGGATAATTTAGTCATACTAATTATTTTTGTTTAATAACTTATTATGAATCAGAAAGAATACTAATTTTATAATTAAATATTTATATATATTTAATAAATTTTTAATATAAATATATGATCTAAACAAAAATTTCTAAGTTAGCTCGAAACCATATACTCAACCTCTGGGAAATCACATTCTTGGTCTTTGGTGTGTCTATTTGTAATTCTACTGATGATTGACACTTGTCCGTCTTTTTTAGATGGACGTGCAAGAACCTTAAATTATCATAATAATTAATTAACTTCCCTTGGTTTTCGCTTAAAACCCTCCGTTAATGAATTGTTCATTGTAACAAGGAATCTCATTGCCCCCCCCTCACGTGGGGCTCATCCAAGTTCCAATTACTAAAAGACTCTCTCAGTTTTAATTTATGCGAATCTGTTTGACTGGACACAAAATTTAAGAAAAAATAAATATTTTTAAAATTTGTAGTCTAAACAAATCAAAAAGGGACCCAGAATATTTATATGGTTATAAAAACTTCTCATTAAGGGTAAAATTATAAATTTAAGCTAAATTGTTCAAATTTAAAAAGGAGTCATTCTTTTTGAAATGGATAAAAAAGTAAATATGTTCACATCAACTGGAATAGATAGAGGATTAGTTTGGAAACCCTAGAAACATAT